GAATAGCATTTTCTTTTACCAGGTTGGCTCCCCTGCCTGCTTCCCCATCAGGGAGTAGCTGCTTAATTAACACACAGGTGAGTGGTGAGCAAAAGTGAGTTAGGTGTAAGGACACAATTGGTTTGACTGAAAAGTACTACCTTTGTGGAGTTGTACGTCTCCATGAGCAAAGCAAACCCATATTAATTGATGGAAGCAAAATTAGGTCTATTTCTTATAGGTGGAATTTTCTTATGAGTTTCATTGTTACTTCTAACTATATATAGCATAACTGAAGGAGGCAGCATAGTCCACTGGCTAGATTACAAGAACAGGAGACAGATGCCTGTTGGTTTTACCCCACCCCACCCCCAGCTCTGGTATTGATTTATTGCATTGCCTTGGATGTATCATTTAACCTATCCCCATTTTCCAGAAGGAGAAACTACCTTACAGGGATGATACGAGGTTTAACTAAGCTTTTAAAGTCTTGGATGATACTTGCTATATACATAGAAAATGTTTCAAAATTACAACATAAAGTTGCAGCTGTTGAGTGGATCAGGCTGATCAGAGCTGCACTGTGTAGTGTTCTATTTTATTGTAAAGAACATAGAGAATCTTTTTTTGAAAAAATATATTTGATTGCACCCTTCTAATTGCTTTTGGCTCATTAGTGTCTTTGCTTTGCCTCGTTTGATTGTTTTTAATGTGTTTAACACCTAGATGTAGTCATGAAGCATGTGGAAAACATTTTCCTACTCCGAGTAGACTAAAACGGCATGAGAAGATACATGAAGGTAATCTAGTTCTCCCTCTTACTTCAGTGTGACTGAAGCACCACAAAATAGCTTGTTTTTCAGTGTAGCCTGGGGGCTTGGAGATCTACAACCAGATCTAGACATGGCCCTCACTTCACGAACCAAATAGTCTAAATTGACACAAAACAGCACAGACTAATTGGATAGCTGGCTGAGGTGTAATTATAGGGTGTTGCAGTATTCAGTGTGTAACTTCACTTTTAATGTAAGTGAGAACATTCACAGGCTTGGCAGAATAGCTCCAAGTGTGTTTAGTCATACTGTTCAGGTAGGTCCTTCTCAGATCACACTTTCCTTCCCTCTGAGATTATTTTGATATGATGGCCCAGTGGTTAAGGCAGTAGCCTAGGTCTTGGGAGACCTAGATACTGTTCCCTGTTCTGCCACGTGCTTCCTGTGTAACCCTGGGCAAGTCACTTAAGTCCCAATTTTTAAAGTTATTGTGGGGCCTAAAAATGCAGATGTGGGATTTTTGAAAAGTAACCAGGTGCCTAACTCCCAACTTCTGAAAATTGCACTAGGCACCTGAATACCTCTAACATTCTGCTCTGCTCAGCATTGCAAGGCATAAATGACATAGCACTTTGCCTCATTTTCAAAAGTGATTTAGGTACATACACTGAGTTCCATTAACTTTCAGTAAAACTTAATCTCGTATGCAAATTTAGGAACTTTAAATTCATGCCCACCTCATCCATACAGGGGAGTTACAGCACTTTGGTGCACACAGCTATTCACACCACCTTAGCCCAAATTGGAGGGCAGTGCAGATATGGCTTGTCTCTTTTGAAAATGAGACTTAGTTGGCCTGTCATTTGTGCCTTGCAATGCTGAGTAGAGAAGTGCCTAAATACCTTTAAAAATCTGGGCCCTAGCCTCTGACTCCATTCCTCATCTGTAAAATGGTGATAATAGTACCTGCTTACCTCACAAGGAGGCTGAGAATGAATACATTAGCTACTGAGGCACTGAGATATTAGTGATGGGGGCCATATAAGTACCTAATATAAGATAGAATTGTGCTCAGTTTTAACTCCAAGTCAAATGACTTAAACCTAATTTAATCATACCTGATGCAAACTTGAGTCTTGGCAAATCAAAGATTGGTATGTGGCTTACATTCTACCAGTGTAAGAGGACAATTATCACAAAATCTAGGTACAGTTCCAATAGCTTAAGTATTGTAGGCCCAATATTTGGTTCCAGTCAGCTTTACAGTGCGAGTGCCTAAGTGCTGTTCTGCCCCATCTCAGTTCTTAGTGGGAAGCAGTCTAAGAACTGAGGATAGTCTGTGGGCCTTGCCCTCTGCTGAGTGCCAACAAAGGAGCTAATTGCAATGCCACTTCATAATGAGGTATCTTAATTCAGAATTGGACTGAACTACTCCTTTCACATAAGACAAATAGCCAGTGGCTTTTGGCTGCTATGAACTTGGAAGTACGCTATATAGGTAATTGATGCCGTATCTGTGTATCCTAGCTAATTCTCTGAACCCTTGCAGCCCTCAAATTAACACGAACATGCTCCAGCAGCCTTACACACTGAGCCATGCTGCACATGCTGTGGATTTTAGGTATACATTAACAAAACAGATCTCTTTATATAGCTTATGCACTCAGCATGAAAACACTGTGGCTGCATTAGCATTGTTATAGAAACTTTAATTTTACATCTTCTGGTAAGTGTACAACTCCTGTGTTGCACTCCATTTTTCTGCCTTGAAAACTGAATTGAGTAAAGGAGGGGCAACTTCAGAGTCTTGCTGCTAACTATACCTTGGTAGCAAATTTCATTTTTCTAAATGAAAGTAAGAATTTGCAGACTTTAGCAAGTTAGGGAAAATCTCCAAAATCATGAGACTTGCATTGTGTCCAACTCTCTTCCTGCTCTGACAGAGACAATAGCTTTTTTTGTTTTTGGAGGGTGGGGGAGATGTTAATCTCCTGGTACATTACCTCAGCAGCCGCCTTTGCCTGTTAGGCTGTGTGAGTGCATAGTGATGTCCCAAGTGGGAAAGGGATTCATTAGCCTTCGCTAAAAACCATTTCATCCACTTAGAGTGACACTTTTTTTCAATCATAAAACTTAATCAAATTGTTCAAGATTCAGAAATATCACTATGCCAAGTTTCAAAATTCTTCCTTTCTGAAAAAGTCAGTTAAGTGGAAACTTTTTTTTTTTTTTTTTTTTTTTGTGGGAGGGACAGGTAAGAGGAGGTCTGGAAGAAGATGGGAGTGCTCCACACCTTCTCAAAAACACCTCACACTCAGATGACAAGTTTCCTTAACCATTCAAGCATTGGAAGTTAAGAATGACTTAGTTTCACTTATCTTGGACCTGTATTGAGCAGGTGTATATGTGTATCTAACATTTAGTTGACTGATCTCGGGCAAATTCACACATTTTTAGTGTATTTTCTAAACCTAAGCAATATGTTTAATAGGATATGTGTGCAAAAAAGACAACTGTTCATTTGTTGGGAAAACATGGACAGAACATCTAAAACATCTGAAGGACAGTCATGCAGGTAAGCTCAGTAAAACTTGTTTTTACAGTTTTATACAGTGACTTAAGTTCAGTGCTCTAATGTATTGGGTAAGAACCCAAATACTAACTTAAAGGGAAATCTCACTAAACGTTTTACCAACCTGCTCTTTTTAAAATTTTATTATTTTTATAAATTCTTTCTTTAATTACTCTCTCTATATAATTTATTAATTACAAATTAATACAGCTTAATATGAGATACTTCTATACCATTCTGGCTAATCTGTAATTGAAAAATACTACTCAAGTCTGTCCCGTTTGCCCACTGATGTGATCATGTGTAATAGTTCCTTAGTACAAGATATGAATAGTCTAGGATGAGAACATGAAACAGCCCCTGAATTTCCTTCGGTTAGTGAATATGAATTGGAGTCTCTCATTCTAAAGGACTGACTTGAGTTATTTAAGTCAGAACCTTCATTTGGATTTTTTTTTTAGTAAGTTGCTCTGTTCTTCTTTTTCACCTAGAGCCAGTAATCTGTGGTGTATGTTCCAAAACATTCAAACGCAAAGATTACCTTCGACAACATCAGAAAACACATGCTGAAGAAAGAGAAGTATGTCGATGCCCAAGAGAAGGCTGTGGGAGAACTTACACAACTGTGTTCAATCTTCAGAGCCATATTCTTTCATTTCATGAGGAGAAAAAACCATTTTTTTGTGATTATGCTGGCTGTGGGAAAGTGTTTGCAATGAAAGTAGGTATTGTAGACTGCCTTAAAATCCAGAGTATCTTCTCTTGGGTCATGTCAACATAACTTTCTTCTCAATTGCAGCAAAGTCTTGCAAGGCATGCTGTTGTACATGATCCTGACAAGGGAAAGCTGAACTTAAAAGTAAGTCAAGTACTTCTGCAAACACCTCTGAGCTATTTCCTTTCTCTTCAAGGAGCAAAGAGTGAATTAATTTAACACATACAATTATGTAAAGTGTCTTTAAAATTGGAAGCTAGTCTAGCTACTACTTTATTTTATGTAGGCACTGAGTATTTCTGAATTTAAATACTGTAAAGGAGGGCAAAGAATAATTTTGTGTTCAGGGGTAGACAACCTATGGTACGTGTGCCAAAGGCAGCACGCGAGCTGATTTTCAGTGGCACACTCGCTACCATTTTAATTTAATTTTAAATGAAGCGTCGTAAACATTTTAAAAACCTTATTTACTTTACATACAGCAATAGTTTAGTTATATATTATAGACTTATAGAAAGACTTCTAAAAACGTTAATGTATTACTGGCACGCGAAACAATGAAGACTCGGCACACCACTTCTGAAAAGTTGCTGACCCCTGGTTCAGATGATCAGGATTTTTTTAATCTATAAAGTAGGAAGGCTGCTAATACTGTACTGTGAATCTTTTATAAGGCAAAACAAACTCGTCCTAAACGAAGTCTGGCCTCTCGTCTGAGTGGATATATTCCTCTTAAAGCACCGCGACGAAAGGTTGAAGTGGCAACAGAAAATAAGGCTCTGAATAAACCTGCAGAAAATGAGTTACCAACTGTTGAAACACTGACTCTGCACTAGAGACTTCTGGAGACAACTTCAGCCAGAATTGACAATTGCTTTATTATCACATGGGTCAGTTTATAATGGCTTATGTAGAAAACTGAATATTTTGTTTTATAGTCACTTCAAGTGTTCGGTTAAAATCACTGCAGTTCACTCGACTCAGTAGTTTCATTTCCACTCTCCTTGTTCAGAAGGTCTGTTTGTTTTTCTTTTTCCATTTTCCTGTACTCATTAGCTTCTTTGTCTGACATGTGTCTCAAAACACAGGTGCTCTTTCCTTCTTTAATGACTCTTGGCTGGGATAAGTAAGTAGCTTTCTCAGGCATAGTCTTGACAATCTGATCAAAGAGAGCCAGCTGAAAACAAGAAAAATAAAAATTTAGTTATATTAACAATGGGAATTAAGCAGGCTACTTCTAATAATTCCTCAGAGTAAGTGAAGAGAGATTAAAATGTTAAGTCTGGTCTACCTCTATGGCAGTTTCTTACAGTTAATCTGATACAACATTAGCTCTGATTTGGACTATGAGTGCAGCACAGAGATAATCACTTATGTCTTACTCTACTCTTCACCACAGTAAGTGAGGCTTTTAAAGTACCACAGCCTTTTAGAAGGCTGTTTCAGTGGTGAAGTTCCAGTAAGCACATTCTCCTTTACAGCTATATTATCTTTCCACTTAAGAATCAAGTGAAATTATAAGCATAGTGTGACCATGAAATCTTTTAATAGAAAAGGTTAGCCTAAGTTTAGCCATGCAGTTGCAGTGGTAGGCTCAACTAGTGACTGAGTGAAGGAAACATTTCTAAAAAAGTTACAAAATGTCAGAAGTAGAGAACCTGTCAGGTAGGGACAGTGAAATTCTCTACTCTGAAATTCAGTCTTAAGCTAATTCATAATGACTGAAGGGTGTCATAGAAGATACCTGCACAAGTAGGGGGAGCCCTATTCTTCTCAATCTTACTTGCAAAAAGCATTTCATTAAATCTGTATCAATAAAATTTTGTTCCACTTTTAAAGTAAATCATTAACATTTACACACACAAAGAATTGCATCACAGTGAGATACTAAGTCCTGTTCTCCTAAATTAGCAAATAGACCCACCATGATCAGATGTAAGTCACTGCAAAGTAATGTGTACTGAAACAAAAGGAAGCATGCCCTAGAAGCCACCCATTGACCCTCCAGTAAACGGAATTGCTAAAGAAGGTACTCCAGTAGGAGCGGGGAGGCAGAAGCTGGATGCTTTGCATTTGTCAGCAAGGTGGCCAAGTACCATAAGCTAGCTTTCATGCATATTGGAGGAAGGGAGTCATAGATTCCAAGCCAGAAGGGATCATTGTGATCATCTAGTGTAACCTTCTGTAGAACAAAGGACATAAAACTTCCACAGAGTAATTCCTTTTGAACTATACCATCTCTTAAAAAACAAACCTCTTACATTAACAAATTGCCAGTTAGGAAGAATCCACCACAACCCTTGCTAAATTATTCCAATGGTTAACTACTCTCACTGTTAAACAGCTAAACCTAATTTCCAGTCTGAATTTGTTTAGCTTCAACTTCCAGACTGTCTTACTCTAACTAACTACGCAGTAGAATAATGCAGTGTTAAAACATTTCTAGGCAATGTGTGAGATTTACTTGTGTAAATGCATTATTCAAATTATCTCTGTGAAGAGACAATTAGTCCTGAAGGGTGGTGTCTGATAAATGGAAATAACTTCACTTAAAAGGAAGCAGGTTTTTGCCCTCTGTACTAATGTCACAACCATCACATACTGGTAAGAGTATACTATCAAAGGAAGAAAGCAGTATTATACCTGGAAACACTTGGCACTGGTAGCCTTATTTAATACATTTGGCTGATCAACCCTTTAAAAAACCTTAATATAGCTTACCATCTTTTCTGGTCCATCTGCAACATTTCTTTGCTGTACAGAAATTCTGACATGATGCTTCTTATCAATCCACTGCTGAATCTGTCTAATTTTGGTCTCTAAGTCATGTTTTGCAATAGCTACAGAAAAAGTTAACTCCTTCAGCTGAACAGGCCCTGTTAAAATATAACCAATAATATATAGGCTTTAAACTAAGTTTAGTAGTGTTGTGTACACCCCTATTCTGTGTTCTAATGCACTGAGGCTACTGGGAGGTTGTTTTTGTTTTTTGGGGGGGAGGGAGGAGAAAAGTACAGGTCAGACAAGTGTCTTCATTCTAACGAACCCATCTTCCCTACTCCATTAAGAGTTCCCTATCTTACCTGTTTATCATTATTTTTGCACGCTCACAATACCTTATGTCCTCATATTTAAATATATGGAGATATACCTATCTCATAGAAGTGGAAGGGACCTTGAAAGGTCATCGAGTCCAGCCCCCTGCCTTCGCTAGCAGGACCAAGTACTGATTTTGCCCCAGATCCCTAGGTGGCCCCCTCAAGGATTGAACTCTCAACCCTGGGTTTAGCAGGCCAATGCTCAAACCACTGAGCTATCCCTCCCCTCATATCTTGCTCATTACCAGGCTGCCCCCTCCTATGCTGCTTGGAACATGTTCCCATTACCATGATGGCAGGCCCTTCCTCCTTCAACATCCCTCTTAAAGAGCTCTCTTTTCCATAAGGCTCATAACCATTAACCAATATTAAACTAGAGATGTGGGGTGGTGGTGGAAAGGATAACAATCTTAAAGTTACCATTTCTAGTCACTCAATCCATGTTCTTCAGACCAACCAGGTTTGGTCAAGGTCTGTCTCAGATGAGGCTGAGTACAACTCAGGTACTTAACAAATAAGGCTGTTCCAAGGTGTACCTGGCCATGAAATGTATGAATCCCAAATTACGCTTTTTTAAATATAAGAAGGCTAAGTGTTTTCCCATTGTATAGTTAAGTGGGAAATTTTTTTAAAATTAGTCAACCCCCTCCACTCCATCTCCATTCTGTTTCAAAAGATCACACAGCCTTGAATTCTGTTAGAAATAAGTCCCTGTAATAGCATAAACACAACTCACTCTCCTCTCACCCTCTGCATATGCTCTTAAATATCCATTATTACAAACTTCTTTTTGTAGGTATTTAACAAGAGCTAACCAAAACTGTTACAGTGGTGCTACTGCGGTAGCTCACCTGTCTCAAATCAGTAGTAAATAGCAGAAAACATCAAAAAATGTGAACAATTTCTTAGTTTGCATGAGGATAACCCAAGACAGTCAGACATCACTATATACAAACACCTTCTCTAAGTGCTCCATCTTGCCAAGTTATCAACCCAATAATTTAAACTACGGGTACAGAATGATTTATGAGGAAAAAGTGAATAATTTTGGTTATTTTATATAAAAAAGTGGAAGGGTCCATTTGGAACACTGTAAATACATTGCTGTCAAGGCTTCCAGATTTTCTCTCCTATATGTTGAGCAATGTTTTGTGACTGTCAGTGACAAAAGTATGCTTCTTATAGATATGGCATATTCAGTTGTGAAAACTGTCATTTATAAAGAAGTTTGCATTCATAAAAATTAATGATCATTTAAAAGAACAAAAATTCAATATGAATGCCATGGTACCAGAATCTAGGTCATTCATTTATATAAGTACTTAAACAATACCAGAAGCCAAAATATTAATTATGAGAGCATAACAGAATGGTTTTCTACATTAACTAGACTAAACCAATTTTTGCTTTTTCAGCATGCAAATCCAAAATAACATTGACTGTGATGACAGTACTCCAGATTTACATTGATGTAACAAACAGGATTTGATCTACTGCCACTACTTCTAATACAGCAGTTTTCGAAGTGTTTAATATTATATTAGCAAGGCACCTACCAGCTTTTGAACTTGCTTTTTGCTTCTCTCTACGTTTGAGCTGCTCTTCGTGAATCTGCTTCCCAGTCATTAGTCTGTACACTGGAGGCTCTTCATTTTCACGCAGTGGAACAAGCTTCAGATCACGCTCATTCATGAGTTGAATCACAGCTCCTCTGTGCATATTTCCTAAGCTGTTCCCATTTTCGCTAATTACATGAAGGATCGGCTGAGGAATTTTCCTCCCAATGCTTCCAAATGTTTTTTGGGCATTTGTTTTTCTTTTCTTTCCTTCTGGTTTCTTTTCAGCTTCTTCAGTTGTACAAAATGATTTTGTAGGTAGAAACATAAGTCTCCTTTTAGCACCAGCCATCACCATCAGTGCTTGAGAGAATGTTGTCTTTTGCATGGTTTGCACCAAAGGAATGTCCAAGTATTTACTTATGCAACTAGTTTCATTCCTTGTGGCTTGCTGTATTAATTTCCTTAGGCAAAGGGCAGCCATTCTGAGAAAATGGGGAAAAAAGAAAAAAACAAACCTCTGTTCATTAGTTAAAAAGACCTAAGTCAGGGTTGGCAGCCCTAATTTTTAAACTATCCTTTTTTAAACTATCCTTTCATTTGTTTGCAAAGTCATGTATTTTTTGATTTAATAAGACTCAAGGTGCACAGTCAGCAGCGACCCTACAATAATAAAGTGTTCATACAATAGAGAAAGAAGGGTTTGGCAGGGAAACCATTTCAAGCTTCTGAAGGGTCATCATAAAGAGTTTTTTCCAATATTTTAAAATGTAGGGTCTAAGCTTACTTTAAAGAACCCCAAAGAGTTATGTGAGCTAGCTGATTTACCATTGTAAGACCAGATAGTTTGTCATTGTCTGGAGGGGTGGGTTTTGTTTTTAAAGTCTCAGCATTTGAAGTTACATGCACAAATGAAGGAAGTTGGATGGAAAATCTGACAGTGGAACCTCTCTCCTGGTGCTGCTGGCACCCTCCTTGATTAGAATATTTTCTTTCACTTATACTACACTGACTCGGGTCCACCAAGACACTCAAGAGTAGTTGAGGTCTGTGCATCAGATCTCTGCAAAGTCCTTAGAAGTTCATGTCCCTGAGGTTTATAGGAAGCTTGGAACTTAAAAGAATGAGACTTCCATGCATAATCTTTGCACGTGCGGTTAAAACCTGACCATTACCACACCTGTAGGAAGCCCATAGAGAGGAGCACACATTTATCCCAGGGTTGAAATTGTCCTTTAGTATACAACCTATTTCTTACATCACTGACTCAAAATAACAATAATAGTGTATTTTCCTCAAAATATGAGCTACCCAAACTTAATCCCATATAAGCAATCAAAGGAGGATACTTGGCAGTTTTGCTGTTATGTGGGTTAAGTCCTATTGTCATTTCAGTAACTAAACTAGAAAGCTCTGTCATCTCTAAGTTCAGACAAATATGCAGTAATATTAGAGCACAGCTGCATCTATATTAGTGGTTTCACTTGTCAAGCTATATTGTTTTGACAAAAGTTGAAAATAAAGATTTGCTATTGACAGTGTTTAAAGGTGTGCACAATCTTGTTACTGTATATAGTGAGTTAGGACAATATCCTGATGTTTCTCCCTACTCCTCCAAAGGCATTTAAAGAGCTTACATAGAGAATGCACTCAACCAAGAAACCAAGGGGTGTGGGGAGAGTGCATTTTACTATGGCTATCCCAAGATAGCTGTTAAAATGCTTTTTCTGTCCAAGGTGATGTTTGTGAAGCAAGCAGACTGGGGAGAGGACGGTAAGGTAAGAGTTTGCTACAGGCATATGGAATGGAGCAGTATTTCATAGAGTATGTCCACACTGCAGGCTCAAGCCTAACCTCCCTTCTGTCTACACACAAATCGCACTAACAGAGGACTTAGACCCAGGCTCCCAGGACCCCACCAGGATGGAGGGTCTGAGCCCGAGTCAAGCCGGGGCTCTAGATTCAAACCCTCTTGCTTTGCAGTATAGACACAGCCCTAGTAGATGCATGCTCCGGGAGTCTGCCAAAAGTATCCCATGGGCCAACTTTCTTTGTCCTCTGGACAGTCAAGTTTGGTGGCCAGTCAAGTTACTGGAGGAGTGTACCTGTACTGGGAGGGGCATTGGGGGTACTGGAGGGGTGTATCTGTACTGGGAGGGGCATTGGGGTACTGGAGGGGTGTACCTGTACTGGGAGGGGCATGGGGGGTTACTGGAGGAGTGTACCTGTACTGGGAGGGGCATTGGGGGGGTTACTGGAGGGGTGTACGGGTACTGGGAGGGGCATTGGGGGTTACTGGAGGGGTGTATCTGTACTGGGAGGGGCATTGGGGGTTACTGGAGGAGTGTACCTGTACTGGGCGGGGCATTGGGGGTTACTGGAGGGGTGTACGGGTACTGGGAGGGGCATTGGGGGGGTTACTGGAGGAGTGTACCTGTACTGGGCGGGGTATGGGGGGGGGTACTGGAGGAGTGTACCTGTACTGCGAGCGGATACCGAGGGGGGACAGTGTCGCTCTCCGGGGCTCCCGCTCCCCCTCCCCCTGCCAGGTCGGCTGGGGCAGGCCCGGGGCGCGGTAGCAGCACGTCAGCGCCTCCCTGCGGCCCCGTCACCCCCGCCCGGCCGGGCTCCGAGGCCCGGCGGCGGGGCAGGCGGCCGGGCCGGGAGGCGCTTGGCGGCTGCGCTTACCTGGCGGGCCAGGCCGGGGATCCGGCAGGGCGGGCGGTGCCAGGCGGGTCGGGGCGGAGCGAGCTCGGCGGCCGGGAGGCGGAGGGGGGTCTGCGCCTGCGCCGCGCGGGGCCTGTGCGTGCAGGGTGCGCGGGGGGTTGGGCTAGGAACCGCGGGTGTCTGCGGAGCCTGTGCCGGGCCGGGCCGGGCGGGCAATGGCCTTTGTTGTGGGGACCCTGGGAGCTGCAGCGTGTTGCTTTCTGAGGTGGTGTCTGGGGGTCCCGTGTGTGACTCGGGGGTTACTGGGTTTACATGTGTGTGATGCATGTTGAGAGCATCTCGCTGGCTGCTGCTGAGTTGTACATTTGTGTTGCTATTTGTGCATCTCTACAGGGGCTGAGAGTGACTGCACTGGGCTGGAAGGATGCACGTGTTAGTGTAGACCAGGGGTAGGCAACCTATGGCATGTGTGCTGAAGGCAGCACGCAAGCTGATTTTCAGTGGCACTCACACTGCCCGGGTCCTGGCCACCAGTCCCGGGGGGCTCTGCATTTTAATTTAATTTTAAATGAAGCTTCTTAAACATTTTAAAAACCTTATTTACTTTACATATAACAATAGTTTAGTTATATATTATAGACTTCTAGAAAGAGACCTTCTAAAAACGTTAACATGTATTACTGGCACGTGAAACCTTAAATCAGAGTGAATAAATGAAGACTCGGCCCACCACTTCTGAAAGGTTGCCAAGCTCTGGTGTAGACACTAGACACACGCGCACATAGGTTGTTGCAAGGCAACTTACATCAACCTAACTTGGTCGTGTAGATCAGGCTTTAGTGTTTAGAAATTACCAATTGTTTTACTAAATAAATAAATAAATAAATAAAAAGGAAGAGAAGGGGATCCTGGCCTCCACCCCTCCCTGATAGAAAATTGCAACATTTTGATTTTAACTTATAAAGAAAATAGGACTGGGTGACATTTTTCCTTTTATTATATATATATATATATATATATATATATATATATGAAAGTTTGCAGTCATTGCTTCAATTCTTGCAGTAGGTTGAGGAAATGTCATAGTCATTTTATGTAACTTTTGCTAAATTTGTAATTTTGTGTGTCTGTGATTCTTCAGAGAAAATGCAGTGCGTGCAGCTCTGTATAAGAGGAAAAATCTTTTCTAAATGAATTTCAAATCTGAACCCCATGTTCAAATGTTTGGGGTGTCTATGAACAACTCTAAAGCCACCACCTTAGATTCCTTTTTAAAACTCTCCTCCATGGTAATGAATACAGAAAACTGCTGCTCATGATAATGGCAAGGTAGGTGGCAAGTTGTGTTAACCGCTACAGCTAAAAATTGTACACCCATTATTCTATGATAAAACATCCTATTGTTTTTGTTACCTTGCTTCCCAGCCTCCCTCACTGCCTGCTTTTCTGTTTCATCTATCTGTCTTTTAGACTGTAAAAGCTTAGTTCAGTGAGCCCTCAATATGAAGCTATTGCAATATAAATTATTAATAATCATTTTCAAGACCCCAGTTGCATCCTTGAGAGAGGAAAAGACTCTGCCATAGGGAAAGGAGTGACAGAATGTGATTGATACCGCTTTTTTTCACCTGCAGAAGGCAAAATATTTTCCCCTTGGAATCCAGATTCACCTACACAGGTGTGGAACTCAAGAGTGCCAGCAGCTACTGAGGATAATTTTGGCTGAAGCAAAAAAGATTGAATTACCACTTTATTTTTGAACCTTGGACTATGCAATGTTAAATAGGGGGAGATTTTCAAAGGCCCAAATGATAGTATCTTCGAAAATCTCCTACATGTACAATTTTTAATGTTAGTATGAGATATAAAGCAGAGGCGACACATGGGGGGAGGACACACAAGGTCACGTGCCCCCACAGATTTCTGACTTCCATTTACAACAGCTTCTAGATCAGAGATTTTCAAACTGTGGGACATGCCCCCCTAGGCGGCGCACCCCACAGTTTGAAAACCTGTTAATCTGGCACCAGCCCCATCGGCATAATGAGGGCAAAGAAAAGAGGAACTAACCAGGCATCCACCAGCACTGGGGTGCTTGCAGGGTGGAGCCATTGTAATCTAGGGGACTCAGCATGAGCGGCTTAGTGTTGGGGCTCTCCATGGAGCTGGGCAGCACACTGGGGGTAGGCAGAGCTGTTGGAGCAGGCGTGGCAGGGCTGTTGCTGGCGCCTGGCAGCAGGGAGCTGGGCTGGGAGGGAACCAGCAGATCCATCCCCACCTTCCCTGAACCAGTCCTGGGTGCTGGGCTCTGCAGCGGCTTCAGCTGCCATGGTGCCTGGTCAGAGGTGGCTCAGCAGGGGAAGGCAGGAGGAGTGGCGCCACATATGGCTGCTGCCTTGGGCAGAAAGCCTAGGGGAAAGAACAGCCCTGTGTTCCCTGGGGCCAGGGTCTGGGCCAAGTGGGGCAGCGGAATGGTGAAGAGGGCTCTAAGCCTCTCCCCGGGGGGCTGCTGCAAAGCCTGCAAGTTCAGGGCAGGAACAGGCTGGAAATCGCTTCCCCCCACTTCAGCGCTTATCTGAGGGGCAGAGAGGCTCCCTCATGCCAATGCTGCGTGGGACTCCAGGTGGCTTTGGCACATGTAGTGCTCGGCTCCTCCTGGGCAGTGCCCTGTGTGTGGGGGAGGGCCTTGGGCTTTCCCAGAGCGCCAGCCCAGCCAGAGGCAGCGGGGAAGGAAGGAGCCTGCCGGCAAGGCTGCAAGTGTGGTGAGTGCTCCCGCCAGGGGTTGGTTCTGCGCCCGGTGCTGGGAGCAGGACGTGCCCCGCCAGGGGTTTATGGAGGAGCGGCAGGGCGGGGACAGCAAAAGGGGCTACTGGGGGGGGGGCAGAGAGGAGGCAGAGGCGACTTGTGTTAGAGGGTAAGTCATGGGCTGCCTAAGCAGGAGTGAGAAAGCCAAGTAGCTCTGTCGCCCAG